AAATAACTAAATATTTGTATAATAATTACAATTATAAACAACTTACTTCTTTTGCTTCATCGTCACTTTGCAGTGACTCTTTCTCCTTTTCTTCATTTTCTGCAATGAATGTTACATGTACCTTGTACACACGAACACAAACACATTACATACATACATACACCATACAAGTACTTACCTAATTGATGAGGCTCCAATAAATGTTTCTATTTCAAATCTCATAATTAATGTATCAAAATCTAACAAATACTTACCACACTGAATACAATAGTTCCATCAACAGTAATTTCAACTACTTCCTTAGACTTAAAAAGGTCTCCATTTTTCATGACATAATCTTTCATCTCATCAACTAGCCAATGTGGTATGACACAAACAAATTTCAGTCGACTATTACGGACAGCCTTCAAGTGAATAAGCATATTGATATCATGACTCCGAAAGGCAGCAGCTAGAAATTGCTCTAAATCATCAAGTGTTGCTTTGTCAATGGACCATGTTACTTCAAATGTCACCTATTATAAATTAAACGTAAGTATTGATATACAACAGTATAACTCTAACCTCTCTACTACCAGTTGTACCACAATATTCAATGGCACTCTTTGCAAAATCCTTTGCTAATATGTCACTGTAAAATTCTTTCCGTTTCTTTTCAAACTGATTCAACTCCTCTGTAATATCAGTCATCTTCATATCCCTTGCTAAACTAGTTAGAATTGGAAATTTTCTCAAAGAACAGTAATTTCGAAGGACTTGTATTAGCTCAGTTTCATCATCTATTTCAACTATTTCCTTCCTCCTTGATGGCCTGATGCCAACCAAAGACATTTTGACACCTTTCAAATTCTCCCTTTCTTTAAAAATCTGGATAACGAAACGTTTCAGTATGTTTGCAAATTCGGTTGTCATTCGAAGGTACTCATCTTCTAAATATTCAGGAACTATAAACAAAACGATAAGGCTTTAATGAAATACCATATAGCGGAAAATTTTCGTGGATCAAAATTTTCGTGGATCCAACCAAAAATCAATTTCGTGGTATTATTTCGAAGGTATTATTTGAGATAACAATTTAACAAAAATTAATCATTATTATTTATTAATGATGTAAAAATTAATTCAAAATGGGCGTGGTACAATAGGCGTGGCTATCTGGCCGCCTGTACACAGTGGTGGTCTTTATCAGTCTTGATGGAGATTAATTCTGTCGGTGACCGTTAACCATCTTACAGAGAGACCGCTGGGACAGGTAAGTTTAGTATTACGGTCATTGTCCAAAAAATTGGGGCATTAAATAGTGACCGTTTTAAAGTAGCTGGCTGTTTTAAGCAGTGACCGTTTAGACAGGTTTGACTGTATATGCATGTACTCTGAACCTATCACGTGGATTGGGTGACAAACACACCGAGTCGCTCACAGTATGTTTGTTACCACAATACTTTCAAAGTTGCTACAATGCATGTAAAAATAATTAATAAATCATAGTATAAGTCACAAGTCATTATAGTAATTATGATAGTAATTATGAGTATAAAAATATTTTTCTGTC